CCAATGTAATGTTAGAATGGTGAAATGTTTCTGTTATTGTAGTTAGCTTGGATATGTGTAATATTAGTCTGGTGTGAGGGCAGTGGAAATGTTTGCCATTCATGTTATTTTCAACAGTTATCAGTGTTAGATTTATATTAACCAATGTCTATTATTATAATGTTGGAATGATGAAATGTTTCTGTTATTGCAGTTAGTTTAGACATTTCTAATTCGGGGCCGGTGTGAGGGCAGTGGGAATGTTTTCCATTCATGTTATTTTCAACTTATATCAGTGTTAGATTTATATTAACTAATGTCAACCATTATATTGTTGGAATGATGAAATGTTTCTGTTATTGCAGTTAGTTTAGACATGTGTAATATTAGGCAGTTGGTATGGCAGAGGAAATATTTACCACCCCTGTTATGTTAAAGTAATATCTGTTCTAGATTTATATTAACCAATGTCAACCATTATAATGTTGGAATGATGAAATGTTTCTGTTATTGCAGTTAGTTTAGACATTTCTAATTCGAGGCCGGTGTGAGGGCAGTGGAAATATTTGCCTCCCATGTTATATTAAATAATATTTGTGCTAGATTTATATTAACCAATGTCAACCATAATAATGTTGGAATGGTGAAATGTTTCTGTTATTGCAGTTAGTTTAGACATGTCTAATATTTGGCAGTTGCTATTGCAGTGGAAATATTTACCACCCCTGTTAAGTTAAAGTAATATCTGTTCTAGATTTATATTAACCAATGTCAACCATTATAATTTTGGAATTGTGAAATGTTTCTGTTATTGTAGTTAGTTCAGACATGTGCAATATTAGTCCGGTGTGAGGGCAGTGGAAATGTTAGCCATTCATATTATTTTCAATTAACATCAGGTACAGATTTATATTAACCAGTGTCAACCATTATAATGTTGGAATGGTGAAATGTTTCTGTTATTGAAGTTAGTTTAGACATGCCTAATATTAGGTAGTTGGTGTGGCAGTGGAAATATTTGCCACCCATGTTATATTAAAATAATATTTGTGCTAGATTTATATTAACCAATGTCAACCATTATAATGTTGGAATGGTGAAATGTTTCTGCTATTGTACTTAGTTTGGACATGTGTAATATTAGGCCGGTTAGAAGGTAGTGGAAATGTTTGCCATTCATGTTATTTTCAAATATAATCAGTAATATATTTATATTAACCAATGTCAACCATTATAATGTAGGAATGGTGAAATGTTTCTGCTATTGTACTTAGTTTGGACGTGTGTAATAGTAGGCCGATGTGATGGCAGAGGAAAAGTTTGCCATTCATATTATTTTCAAGTAGCATCAGTGATAGATTTATATTAATAAAATGTCAACCATTATAATGTTGGAATGTTGAAATGTTTCTGTTATTTTAGTTAGTTTAGACAAGTGTAATATTAGACCGATGTGATGGCAGTGGAAACGTTTGCCATTCATATTATTTTCAAGTAACATCAGTGATAGATTTATATTAACCAG